GGAGCTTGGAGAACAGCAGTTATGGAAGTGGAAGGTCCATCCCAAAGAATTTTGGGATTTCTCCTGGTGGGATGGAGCTTGGAGAACCTGAGATGGGATGAGAAGTTCCTTCAACCCAAGAATTTTGGGATTTTTGGAAGTTCTGGAGATGTTCCTGGTGGGATGGAACTTGGAGAACAGGAGTTATGGAGCCGGAAGGTCCATCCCAAAAATATTGGGGTTTTTGGGACCTTTTCCAGCCGGAATTTTGGGATTTTTAGGGATCCCCGGGGCTCTGCAGGGGCAGAGCGTGTCCTCGGGCAGCTCGGAGATCAAATCCGACGACGAGGCCGACGAGAACCTGCAGGAACCGAAGGCGGCCGAGGAGAAGAAGCTGGAAGAGGAGAAGAAGGAGATCAAATCCATAACTAGGTCAAGATCTAGGTAACGGGAGCTGGGGGAATGGGGAAAATCGGGAAAATTTGGGAAAATTTGGGAAAAAATTGGGGAAAATTGGGACGAAATATCAGAAAAAACGGAATTTGTGATGTTCTCCAGGAAGTTCTCCATGGAAGTTCTTCTGAGTTCATGGAGAACATGGGAGAAGTTCCGTGGAGAACTTGGGAGAATTTCCATAAGGAACTTCATGGAGAACTTCTTCGGCTTTTTGGGATTTTTTGGGTTTCTGGGATTTGGGATTTTTGGAGTTCCTGGATTTGGAATTTCCCAAATTTTGGGATTTCCTGGGAATTGGGATTTTGGGTTTTCTGGAATTTGGGATTTTGAGTTTTTGGGATTTTGGGTTTTCCTGAATTTTGGGATTTTGGGTTTTGGGATTTCCGGAAATTTGGGATTTCGGCTTTTTGGCATTTCCTGGAATTTGGGATTTGAGATTTTTGACTTTTTGGGATTTGGAATTTTGGGATTTTTGGAGTTCCTGGTTTTGGAATTTCCCAAATTTTGGGATTTCCTGGGAATTGGGATTTTGAGTTTTTGGGATTTTGGATTTCCTTGAATTTAGGATTTTGGGTTTTCCTAAATTTTGGGATTTTGGATTTCCTGGAATTTAGGAGTTTGGGTTTTCCTAAATTTTGGGATTTTGGGAATTTCTGAGATTTTGGATTTTGAGTTTTTGGGATTTTGGGTTTTCCTGAATTTTGGGGTTTCCTGAAATTTCAAATTTTGGGATTTTTAGGATTTTTTGAGTTTCTGGAATTTACGATTTCTGCATTTTTCATTTCCTGGAATTTGGAGTTTCTTGAAATTCCAGATTTTGGGATTTTTCGATTTGACTTTTTGGGATTTTGGGATTTCCTAAATTTGGGGACGTGCAGGTGGGCGCCCATCGAGAGGACGGCGTTGGACTCCGCGGCAGCCACTCCTTGGTGCCCAGCCAGGTGCCGGTGCCGACGCTCCCGGTGCCGTCGGCGACGTCCCCGGAGCTCAACCCCAGCCAGGATCCCTACAGGGGTGAGACCGTCCCCAAAATTCCCCAAATTCCCCAAAAAATGCCCAAAAATCCCCTTGGAGTCACTTCATCCCAAAGGACTTGGGGATTTTAGGATGGGGAATTCTTTCAATACCAAAGGATTTGGGGATTTGGGGTGAGAATCCCAAAAATTTTGGGATTTTAGGGTGAAAATCGAAAAAAAATTTGGGATTTTAGGGTGAAAATCCCAAAAAATTGGGAATTTAGGGGGAGAATCCCAAAAAATTTCGGACTTTAGGGTGAAAATCTTAAAAAACTTGGGAATTTAGACTGAGAATCCCAAAAAATTTGGGATTTTAAGGTGAAAATCCCAAAAAATTTGGGTTTTTAGGATGAGAATCCCAAAAAAAAGCATGGAAGTTCTTCCATGTTCTTCATTAATTTAGAGGACATTCCATGGAGAACTTGGAGGAGAACTTGGTAGAACTTCCATGGAGACCTAGGTAGAACTTCCATGGAGAACCTGGATGAACTTCTGCATGGAAGTTCTCCATGGAAGTTCTAAGATCATGGAGAACATGGGAGAAGTTCCGTGTCGAACTTCCATGGAGAACTTCATGGAGAACTTCATGGAGAACATCCATGGAGAACTTCCTGGAGAACTTCCATGGAGAACTGGGTAGAACTTCCATGGAGAACTTGGTAGAACTTCCATGGAAAACTTTCATGGAGAACTTCATGGAGAACATGGTAGAACTTCCATGGAGAACTTCATGGAGAACTACCATGGAGAACTTCATGGAGAACTTCCATGGAGAACTGGGTAGAACTTCCATGGAGAACTGGGTAGAACTTCCATGGAGAACTTCCATGGAGAACTTCCATGGAGAATTTCAAAGAACATCCATGGAGAACCTGGAAGAACTTCTCCATGGAACTTCTCCATGGATGTTCTCCATGAAGTTCTTCATGGAAGTTCTACCAAGTTCTCCATGGATGTTCTCCATGGGAGTTCTCCCAAGTTCTCCATGGAATTTCTCCACAATTTGAGGAGAAACATCTCCAAAATCCCACCAAACACGGTGGACAACCCAAACTGGAGCTGCCATTGGAAAGTCCTTTTTCTTTTGGACCTTCTCCAGCAATAACGACGACGAGGACCTGACCCCGGAGCAGAAAGCCGAACGGGAGAAGGAACGAAGGATGGCCAACAACGCCCGAGAACGTCTGCGCGTGAGGGACATCAACGAGGCCTTCAAGGAGCTGGGCAGGATGGTCCAGCTCCACCTCAAGAGTGACAAACCCCAGACCAAGCTGCTGATCCTGCACCAGGCGGTGGCCGTCATCCTCAGCCTGGAGCAGCAGGTCCGAGGTTGGTGATGGTCGCGGCGTGGGGTGGGATTTGGGGTGGAGGTTGTCCACAGGATTTGGGCGGTTCTTCATGATGTTCTCCATGAAGTTCTCCATGGAAGTTCTCCATGGAGTTCTCCATGGAGTTCTCCATGAAGTTCTCCATGGACGTTCTACCAAGTTCTCCATGGAAGTTCTTCCAACTTCTTCATTAAGTTCGCCATGGAAGATCTCCATGAACTTTGAGGAACTTCAATGGAGAACTCAATAGACCCTTGATGGAGAACTTCATGAAAGACTTCCATGGAGAACTTCAATGGAGCAGCAGGTCCGAGGTTCGTGATGGTCGCGGGGTGGGGTGGGATTTGGGGTGTTCTTCATGAAGTTCTCCATGGAATTTCTCCATTAAGTTCTCCATGAAAGTTCTTCATGGAAGTTCTCCATGGAAGTTCTCCCAAGTTCTCCATTAAGTTCTCCATGGAAGTTCTACCAACTTCTCCATGAACTTTGAGGAACTTCAATGGAGAACTTAATAGAACCTTGATGGAGAACTTCATTAAGAACTTCCATGGAGAACTTGGGAGAACTTCCATGGAGAACTTGGGAGAACTTCCATGGAGAACTTCATGGAGAACCTCAGTGGAGAACTTGCATGGAGAACACCACAAACTCCATGGAGAACTTCCATGGAGCAGCAGGTCCGAGGCTGGTGATGGTTGCGGCGTGGGGTGGGATTTGGTGCGGAGGTTGTCTGTGGGATTTGGGGTGTTCTTCATGATGTTCTCCATGGAAGTTCTCCATGGAAGTTCTCCCAAGTTCTCCATGAAGTTCTCCATGGAAGTTCTCCATGGAAGTTTTGATGTTCTCCATGGAGTTCTCCACCATGGAAGTTCTTCATTAAGTTCTCCATGGAACTTTTGATGTTCTCCATGGAGTTTTTGGAGTTCTCCATGGAGACCTCCTGCATGGAAGTTCTCCAGAAGTTCTCCATAAAGTTCTCCTTGGAATTTTTGCTGTTCTCCATGGGATTTTTGGACTTCTCCATGGAGTCCTCCTCCCTGGAAATTCTCCAGAAGTTCTTCATGAAGTTCTCCATAGAATTTTTGATGTTCTCCATGGAATTCTTGATGTTCTCCATGGAGTTTTCGATGTTCTCCATGGAATTTTTGGAGTGTTCCATGGAGACCTCCTGCATGGAAGTTCTCCAGAAGTTCTCCATGATGTTCTCCATGGAAATTTTGGCGTTCTCCATGGAATTTTTTGAATTCTCCATGGAGTCCTCCTCCCTGGAAGTTCTCCAGAGCTTCTCCATGAAGTTCTCCATGAAGTTCTCCATTGAATTTTTGATGTTCTCCATGGAACTTTTGATGTTCTCCATGGAATTTTTGGAGTTCTCCATGGGATTTTTGGAGTTCTCCATGGAGTCCTTCTCCATGGAAGTTCTGCAGAAGTTCTCCATGAAGTTCTCCATGGAACTTTTGATGTTCTCCATGGAACTTTTGCTGTTCTCCGTGAAACTTTTGATGTTCTCCATGGAACTTTTGATGTTCTCCATGAAACTTTTGATGTTCTCCATGGAACTTTTGCTGTTCTCCATGAAATTTTTGGTGTTCCACATGAAATTTTTGGAGTTCTCCATGGAGTCCTCCTGCATAGAAGTTCTGCAGAAGTTCTCCATGAAG